TTGAGTCGTAACAAACGGGAAACAAAGTAACACAACAAAACCATCGACCGCTTCACTCACATCCTCTCTCCCTCACACTCCCTCCCTCCCTCCCTCCCTCACTCACTCACTCACATCCTCTCTCCCTCACACTCCCTCACTCACTCACATCCTCACTCACTCACATCCTCTCTCCCTCACACTCCCTCACTCACTCACATCCTCACTCACTCACATCCTCACTCACTCACATCCTCACTCACTCACATCCTCTCTCCCTCACACTCCCTCACTCACTCACATCCTCACTCACTCACATCCTCACTCACTCACATCCTCACTCACTCACATCCTCACTCACTCACATCCTCACTCACTCACTCACTCACTCACAACATCACTCAGTCACTCACTCACTCACATCCTCACTTACTCACTCACTCACATCCTCACTCACTCACATCCTCACTCACTCACATCCTCACTCACTCACTCACATCCTCACTGACATCCTCACTCACATCCTCACTCACTCACTCACATCCTCATTCACTCACTCACATCCTCACTCACTCACTTACGCACACACATTCATTCACACGCTCACTCACTAATCCTCACTCACTCACTCACACTCACTCACATCCTCACTCACTCACACACACACACTCACTCACTCACATCCTCACTCACTCACTCACATCCTCACTCACTCACTCACTCACACACTCACACACCAGACCAGACACACATACGGACATACAATTCCCTCTCACACACAGACACTCACTCACCCCCGGACTCCGCCATCCACAACCTCCTGTTATTGCTGTTGTTATTGCTTTTCCTACAGAACCCCAAACCTCCCACTCTCCCCCCTCCCACTCTCCCACTCTCCCCTCCCTCCCTCCCACTCTCCCCCCTCCCTCCCTCCCTCCCTCTCTCCCCCCTCCCTCCCTCCCTCCCACTCTCCCACTCTCCCCTCCCCTCCCTCCCACTCTCCCACTCTCCCCCCTCCCACTCTCCCTCCTCCCTCCCTCCCTCCACTCTCCCCCCCCTCCCTCCCACTCTCCCATCTCCCCCCTCCCCTCCCTCCCACTCTCCCCCTCCTCCCCCCTCCCTCCTTCCCTCCCACTCTCCTTCCCTCCTCCCCCTGCCACTCTCCCCTCCCCTCCCTCCCACTCTCCCCCCCCTCCCTCCTCCTCCCACTCTCCTTCCCTCCCTCCCCCTGCCACTCTCCCCCTCCTCCCTCTCTCCCCCCCCCCTTCCCTCCTCCTCTCCCTCCTCCTCCCCCTTCCCCTCCCTCCCACTCTCCCCCCTCCCCTCCCTCCCACTCTCCCCCCTCCCCTCCCTCCCACTCTCCCCCCTCCCTCTCTCCCTCCTTCCCTCCCGAATGGAACGGAACCGATCGCCGCTGTTTTGCCACTTACTTCTCTTCTTCTTCTGTCTCTGTCTGTGTGTCTGTGCGGATGAGGGTGTGAGGATGGGGGTGAGGGTGTGAGGGTGAGGATGAGGGTGAGGGTGAGGGGGGGGGGGGTGAGGGGTGGGTGAGGGGATATATCTCCTCTCCTCTTTTTTTGTTCTTTCTTCTTATCTGTTGTTATTGGGTTAAAGATATAAAAGGGGAGAAACCAAACGGTAACGACTATATGTGAGTGTACGTGTGTGTGTGTATGTATGTATGTGTGTAGTGTATATGTTATTTGTGTGTGTGTGTATATGTGAGTGTATGTGTGTGTGTGTGTAGTGTATATGTATTTGTGTGTGTGTATATGTGAGTGTATGTGGGTGTATGTTTGTAGACTTTAAACGTTGGGAGAGATGCAGTTGTTACTACGTTCTGTTTGTATCCACAATGACTTTTAATATTGTTGCGGTCTCCCAGGTGTTTATCAACAGTATTCTTAAACCCAAACAAAATAACAAACATTGCTTTTTATATTATCCTTGTATCCTGCAGATCTGTGTGTGTGTGTGTGTGTGTGTGTGTGCGGGTGTGCGTGTATCTGTGTTTGTCTGTCTGTGTGTGTCTTGTGTCTGTGTGTGTGTGTGTGTCTGCGTTTGTGTCTGTGCGTAAAAACAACACAACCACATATCCTTTTCGAAAGGTGTAATTTTTTTTCAGATGGCTGTAATTCCAGATTAGAGTTCCTAAAACAAAATCTGTAACACATTGCTGTTGTTTCTTTTATAAACAGCTTCAAAAATGGGATGTCATTTGCTTGAGTAGTTTAGCCTTTCAAGTCTGTGTCAGAGAAAGGTACTGTTGGAAACCAGAGCACGGAGCATGTTGGTGCTACTTTTTTTTTTGGGGGGGGGGGAAAGGGACAGAATTGTTTCTTTGTGTTCATTGCCTGCTGAGGTTATGATGAAGATTTGGGGAGGGTTTGTGCGGGCGGGGTGGGGGCGTTGTATGTGGACAAGCGTCTCAAAGCTGCGGAGGACCCTTTGCATTCATGATAATAAAAATAATAATAATCCTGGCATTTGATGCAGCGCCTGATCACGTCTTCGAGACGTCTCAAAGTGCTTCACAGGATATACTGTAAAGTGAGTTGACTGTATATTTTGTGGGCGAAACGGGGCACAGCAGCGTCCCCACAAACAGCCGTGGAGCGAGTGACCAAATTATTATCTTTTTAAAAAAAAATCGAAGTGAATTCACGTACCCGTAAATGCACATCTCTACCTCATCGTTGAGCCAATCTCTAACCGTCTCTCAAACCGGATAATTTGATAGCATAAAAATTAGCCAAGGAGTGGGCACTGATTCCTTATTACTGAATACCTCCTCATCATCAGTTACAATCAATTAGAATTAACAATCGTGAATGAACAAAACAAAATGAAATACAGAAGCTTAATCGACTCTTTAAGTGATTTCAAAGTTTTTTAAGCGATTCCCTTTATTGGATTATTCTTAGTCCAAAAGCAATGATAAAAATCCTTGGTTTCGAAAATCGGCGTCTGTCATGTCAGGAGGAGGCCTCGAAGGGTATCCCAGGATTCACTGTAAAGTGCGGAGGTTGGACTTCGAGCTACACAGGAGAGGCAGAAATTAAGAACAATTATTTAAAGCCTCTCTCTCTTTCTTTCCAGTCCCCTCGCTCTTCCCCCTCCCCTCGGCCATGCTCATTATCTCACCCCAAATTATTGGCTCATCGTTAGACTTGTAGATGGGCGACTGTTATAAGGTTGATCTTCGGCTCGATAGACTTTTAAAAGGATGTTTCCTCTCTCCCCCACACACACCCCCTTCCATCCCCTCCCCCTCTCAAATGGGATACATAAAATCCTCAGCTGAATAGTAACATCTGTGAGAGGAGGCTGGCAGGGAGCAGTGCTGATCTCATACTCCCATCACCAAGTTCCTTTCACGTGGAACAACATTGTTACGGGATGTGACGTGCAGCACAAATCAATTGCACTGAATTGCAGCTGCATTTATGTAAATAGTGTGATTAACCTTCACCTTTCTGGAGGCAGGAGGGCTGATTCACATTCTCCTGTTTCCACAAGGTTACGAAGGGGTGGGGCGCTTCCTCCGCCAGCAGTTCGGATGCCTGTGTACAGTGGTTGCCCAGAAAATTATCACAAAATTTTTGATTTTCGTTCCAAATTTTTCCAGCATCTAATGATAATTAAGCCAATGCAAGTGACGAGGGGCAAACTGACCTCGTATATTCTTTTACATGGCTAAACTCTATCTCAGCATGACTGTGCCATATTTGGTTTGTCTTGCTGTATGTGCTATGATTCAGTCTTTGTCTGCCAGGCAAATCTCTGTTAGTCTTTCTCAGTTCTCTCCTTTTTCCCCTCTCCGTCTCCCTTTTTAATATAATATAATATAACATAATATAATATAACCCTTGCATTTGATGTAGCACCTCATCATGGCGAAGAGGCGTCTCAAAGCGCTTCACAGAATATGCTGTACAGTGGGTTGACTGTGTATTTTGCATCTCCTTTTCTGGGTCTGTTACCCACTTGCTCAGCCCGCCCTCTGTATGTACCTAGTGCTGCATGTTCCTCTGCGTCTACCTCTCCCCTTCCTCACCTGCTCATCTGTCCTTGTCGATTTCATCTGATGTAAAGTGTGCAAGGACAGCCTGCTGGGGAGAGACTAGATTTTATTCCAGATTTTATTCTGAAATCAGAGGAGTGAGTGCCCGCTTGACATCCAGAGAGCCCTTGTGGCATTCTGTCTCACTGAAATGATGGAGGAAGTCAATCTGCTATAAGGGCCAATGGTTTTGTCGAAACACAATTGCGCAAGCAAAGATTTAACCTTCACTTTTTAAAGTTGACTTGTAGCCGCTGGGGAATGGCTTGCAGATATTACTGATGCCTGGAGTGCTTAAATAAAAATAATAATAATAATAATAACAATAATCCTTGCATTTGATCGAGTGCCTTATCACGCGATTGAGACGTCTCAAAAGAGCTTCGCTTCACGGAATATACCGTACAGTGTGCGCTGACTGTGAATTTTGTGGGGGAAAAAGGCGACTTTGCCAAAGCAGAGAAATGATCGCAATATGTTAAAGATTACAAAGAGAGAGAGAGTGAGAGAGAGGTCACCCTCGACACGGTTATCTTTCCGACGTTTGTTTTTTAAATCTACGTCTCCCACCATCTCTGTGTGTGCGCGTGTGTGTGTGTGATGGTCAGAAAGCAGACCGGGAGCAGACATTTTATAAAGAACCCCTCCCTCTGTAGGATTGACGTCACAAAGTTCTGCTCCTGAATCAGAGCTGTGTGGGTGTCTCTCCCTCCCTCCTCTCTCTCTCTCTCTCTTTCCCTCCCTCCCTCCCCCTCTCTCCTCTCCCTCTCTCTCCTCTGAACCCCCCACCCCCCCTCCCCCCACGTTCATGGTGCCACTGAAGCAGAACTTCATGATGTCACCATCGGGGGAATTCTGCACAAAATGTCTGTTTCCCAGCCTACATCTGAGCAGCGAATTTGTTTGGGGGGGGAAAAGAGGAATGTTCTTACAGACCATAAAACACCAGAGGGCAAGAATGGGCTGAGGGGTATTGGTAAGTGCGATGTATTCGCTTTTCACACCTTGCTGGTAGATCAGCTAAACATAGCCTTTCTCTCAATTGCTCTAATTTTTTCCAGTCGAGCTGGTGTGTGTTAGCCTCCACCCTGCTCACCTACCTGAGCCTTATTGTTAACTGTCTGGGTTGGGTTGAGGATTGCTTCAGCTTTATTTTACAAAAAGGTAGCTCCGCAAACGCTCACACGCCTTTCTACATTTTCTGGTGTATCCTTATCGCCATCTTCAGCTATTTTAGTGTGGTTTTTTTGTACGTGTCTGGTATGTTCAATCCACGATCGTTTGTTGGACACCGCGACTGCTGTGCGCAATTGGCTGCCACATTTCGCCCACAAAATGCACCAGTCAATCCACTTTACAGTATGTTCTGTGAAGAGCTTTGAGACGTCTCAACGACGTGATAAGGCACTGTATCAAATTGTCGTTGTTGTCTTCTCAGTGTGACAGTAAACAGCAATCCTGCTTGCATTTCCTTACCATCTAGATTACTGATGATCAAGCATGTACATTAACTTATCCACAACAAGGTGTGGTTTACCCTCTTCTGCTATTCACTACTAATAATAATCCCTCCAAAAAAACAAAAAAAATAATAATTTGGTCACTTCAATCCACGACTGTTTGTGGGACGCTGCTGTGCGCAATTGGCTGCCGCCTTTCACCCACAAATATACAGTCAATTCACTTTACAATCTATCCTGTGAAGCACTTTGAGATGTCTCGAAGACGTGAAAAGCGCTATATCAAATGCAAGGATTATTATTATTATTATTACTTAAAACTCTTGCAGCCCGCTGGGTAGAAATATCACCTGAGTCAAGATTTACTCTATTTACGTAACATATTATCAGAGTGTCTAGAATTTGGCAGATTCTTAAATGAAGTACTTTCAATTTGAAGCTGTTTTTGTTTCACGGGTTTCTTTACGAACAAAACAAAAAGCCCACTTCAAGGTTAAAATTTAATTTAATGATTTGCCACATTTTGCGGCTGCTCGAGTTAATCGAGACCCAAGTGGAATTTCTACCCGTCGTGCTTTGTGGGTCGTCTTTGGTATATCTGTATAAATGCAAGCTGCTGTTGTTTGGTGTATCGGAAGGACCAGAAAAGAGAAAGGCTTTTTATACCTGCCTAGGGAGGGGGAGGAGAGAAAGGTGCCTGTTGTGTCTCTATATGGGGGAAGGTTTCCTGTTTTGTGGTATACTTTCAGTGGGTGGGGGAAGCTGCTATTTTCTTGTATACATTATAAGCTCACTTCCAGTGGATACGTACATACGTACGCATCAGTGATCCGGTTTAACTACACACGTCCAAATTTAACTACAAACCCCATATTTTCTTAGTTCGCTATAAAATATTAATAACTCCCAACACCCTGTTTGTCAAACTAAATGGTTTGCGAAGTGTTTCTTTACGACTGTGTTGTTTCGTCGCATTAAATGCGTTGCGTCTGTTTCTTGCCTGAGTGACTGTGCTCCCTCATTTAAGCTCTGGGACGCTACCCTGTGGGAGGAGAGCTATATCAATGCAAGTCGTTGATATTGTTGTTGTATGCAAGGCTATGCACTCTAGTTTTAACCCGTGTCCTGCTAATGATAGTGGTCAGTTATTAATATCCATATGTAGTTCCTAACTCACTGGAAGCCTGGAGAAGCAGCTGGCATTGGATCTGGGTGTTCTCATATATAGAGTTTGTAACTGCTGGCAAGCACAGAGCTGCTGTGTGGGAAAACAGAGGTTAACTATTCAAGACTGGGGAGTACCAGCTCAGACCTTGAATTGTCGCGTTGCATCGTGCTACGTTGGTTTCCGTCCTGCTGTTCTAATGTTGTGTGCCCCAGCAGAAAGCCTTGTGATCGAACAGGGTAACATCTAGACGATGCAGCCACTTTAGATCTCTTGCAACAAAATTAGATGCAAGGGGGGGGGGGGGGGGGAAAGCTTGCAAGAGGCACTGTGAAGGCTTGAGTGAGCTATTGTACTTGCTCAGAGGGTGAGTCACACCAAACGTTTAACTTGCATCAAGCCATGAGCTGCTACCACACACAGCTCTGCTTGGCATTACTAACCTCCGAGAGTATTGCCTGTTCTCATGTGCTTACAGGCTCTGCTCTGATTATTTAAACTCTGGAACACCCTCCCTCTTTCTCTCTGCCTTGCCCCTTCCTTCCCCCATCTTCAGTTCGCGCCTGAAGACCTTCCTCTTTGACCATCCTACCCTTCCCCCCCAGCTTGGTGGTGTTGTAGTTGTTGGTGTCATGCTCTGCCACTGTCAAGCGCTCTGGGACGCTACCCTGTGTGAGGGGTGCTATATAATAATAATAATAACAATAATAATCCTTGCATTTGATCTAGTGCTTTTCATGCCTTCTAGACGTCTCAAAGCGCTTCACAGAATAGACTGTAAAGTGTAGTGACTGTATATTTTGTGGGCGAAACGCGGCAGCCAATTGCGCACAGCAGCGTCCCCGCAAACAGCCGTGGATTGAAGTGGATTTTCTTGAGCAATTATTATTAGGCGTGTGGAGTAAATATAAATGCAAGTTGTTGTTTATTTGCGGATCCCTGACTGTCCAGAGCCTTGGGACGTCCTCCTGACGTGAAAGTCGCTACACAAATGTAATTTATTGTTCATTTATTATGTGCAAATTACATTGACTCTTGTTTTATATTTGTATGTGGGCTTTTAGATACACACTTATTATTATTAATAATAATGGACAAATTTGAGCCATCTTTCTTGAAATAAACACCAAATTTCTTGTCTCTTTGGGGCCACCTTTCCTCTCCAGCTGTTGTGGTGGAGTCAGTTTCAGGGAACAGCTGTGTGTGTGTGTGTGTGTGTGTCTCCCAGACACAACATCCATTCATTTCAATGGGAGCTGGAGCTTTTGTGGCACCTGAGAACTGATCTACAGTCCAGAGCAGTGGACAAATATAGCAACAACTGTGTAGGAAAAGCAGAGGTAATGCATACATCCATAAATGTATATTTTTAGATCGAAAAGAGGAGTACAGTACTTAGAATAGAATGCGTTCCCCCCAGTTTTTTCCTGGCCTTGTTAAGGAAAATACAGTACGTCCTGTGTTCGTGGGGGCTTTCATAACACTCAGTGCAAGCAGAGGTTATGTGTGTTTTACTTTTATAATTCATTGTTTGTACGTATCATTTATTTATGGTCAGTATGTCCTGTGAAGTGCTTTGAGATGTCTCGAAGAAGGCTCTGTATCAAATGCAAGGATTATTATTATTATTATTAATATTATAGTATTTTAACGCAGGCAGAAGCGATGCTGTACAATGAGAGGTTGGATTGTTTCTTTCCACTGGAAAGAGCGGAAGTGTTTCTGTTCTTCTCCCCGACTCCCCCTCCCCCAGCCCCCGCTCGCCCGCTCGCTCGCTCACTCGCTGACTTAAAGACACAAGATACTTGTCGAACAAGATTTGCTGGCTTTCAAAACTTGGCTGGAGCTGGGGTGACGAACAGAGAGGTGGTCTCGCTACTTTCTGTATCGAGATTCGAAACCAGTTTGCGTCTAACAGGATGTCCACTGAAAACAGTGTAACGGTTCTATCTGTTGAAGGAAGACATGATGAGGGGCACTGCTTATCGAACTGTTCGAGGCTATTGACAAATCTCTGCTGGTTAGACTAAGTGCGTCTTGGCCTGAGTCACTCATAGGATCTGCTATTTTCTTGGCACAGGCGGGAGAAGGGTTTCAAAACCATGAACAATTCAGCCAACATTCATTCTCCCCTCTTGTTTTTTGCTTGTGATCTGATTGCATCGTAAGCTGAAAAATGTTTTCACTGTTAACTTGGCTTTTTTTCCCCGGTGGGTGAGGGGGAGGGTGGGAGGTACACGAAAAATTGCTTTGTCACTTTTTTTCGGGCTGTGAAACGGTCTCGTTTTCCAACAAAGGGGCCGGAACTTGGGACCTTATTCCGAGTCAACTGCTGGGAAGGAATGCGTTTTTCCAACTCCTTCAGTCCGGCCCCCCCCCCCCCCCCCACCCCACACGCCGCCTGCTCTTTATGTGTGGTGTTTTGGGCCGTTTGCTCTAGACAATGAGAATGAAAATAAAAGAAACCAACCTCTCTCTCTCTCTCTCTCTCTCTGGGCTGGGAGCAGAGAAACATCCCGCAGGGCAGCAGTTGAAGTTTCCTTCTTGCAATTGGTGGTAATAATAATAATCATCATCCTTGCATTTGACACAGCGCCTTATCAGGTCTTCCAGACGTCTCAAAGCGAATTGACTGGATGTTTTGTGGGCGAAACGCGGCAGCCATTTGCGCACAGCAGCGTCCCCACAAACAGCCGTGGAATTGAGTGAACAATTTATTATTATTATTTTTAAATTTGTTTTTGAAGGGATTATTAAACCCAGAAAAGCGATCCGCCAATCGATTAACAACCGGGTTCCTACTTACTGCTGGTAAGCCGAGGCGTGTGTGTGGAGTGAGGAAACTTGCCCAACGTCTCGCCCTGCCCGGGAATCGAACCCAGGTCCTCTCACTTGCGAGGCGAGTGCTCTAACCACTGACTTACAGGACTCCTCATTGTGCGGTATTGTTGATGCAGGTTTTTAAACCTTATAAACCCATGTCACTGTTTCGGGGCCTAAAACTGCAATGGAATCCTATGTGAAGTGAACCAAATAGAGAGGAAGATTCCAGGCTACTCCAGTACAACAATTACACCCGAGCTTTGCTCTGTGCTGAGTTAGGCGAGCGCCGTGAATGACTCGATGCTGTGCTGCCTCCCATTGTCTATTCTCACGCACGAAAATGCCTGTTTGGCCAATGACCGTGTTACTGTGTCCCAGCAAGAGTCAAATCAGTGGCTCAGTCCAGCTTCATCCAGTCACCAACCCCCCCACCCCCCTGGGATGCTGCCCTTGCATTTGATTCAGCGCACTATCACGTCTCGAAGACAAATGCAAGGATTATTATTTATTTGTCTATCATTATAGCGC